AAGTTCGTAACTCAGACAGATTGCACAAAGTAATGTAGAGAGATGGCGAAGGGTAGCAGCGAATTGCAATATTTATAGAAACAGTTTCAGAATTTTTCTTTTGATGTTAGATATCAATTCAAGGAAAGACATGAGACGACCGTTACATGAACGCTGGAAGTTGCACTTTGAGTATCCCATGAGTATCCGGCAATTGAACCAGCTCCATTATCAGCGCATGTGATGGGATCGTCAGGCAAAACTTGAAAAACCGGGTCAAAAAGAGAATTAGAATAGAATTTGGTTGTTCCAGATGGACAGAAAATTTCCAACCTAAAAGTTTTGAGTGATTACTGCATGTTGTTCTCTTTTCTTGAGAGATTTTTTAAAAATTAAATTCTATTTGAATCATAGATTTTTTGGATGCTTTGTAAGACTGATCTGCAATAGAAACTATCTCTGACCGCCTGAACAACGACATTTTTTCGGAAATTGATATAGTTTAGGCTTTATATGGTGCAACTGACCTGCATATACCCGGATATGTGGTATCTCTAACCGCTCGAACAACGGCATTTTTTCGAGGCACACAAACATTGTGCTGGCAAGGTGATTCTTCTGTGTAAACGTCTATACAGGATCCGCATCATGAAATATAATGAATGAATTAAATATGCGTGCTATACCGCTTTTTTTTAATACTTGTACATCACTCTAAGACACATACGAATAGAAGAATAGAAAGGATATTTACTGACTTGATTGATCATGAGCCAAAGAAGCTGAAAATTACATGCGGATAGTCTACCAGAGTCTACTTTCGTTCGTAATAAAGTTTTTTGTAGTACACTTGAAATGTAACTTTCTTTAAAAGTGAGCGCTTGAAAGATGACAATGTTAGATATTTCTTGAGCATTCAGCAGAAGAATCTTAAAACTATGCATTAAATTGTGCTAAGGAAGTTCTTTGAAATTGGAAAGATGTCTTGAAAGTGAAATGATTAAGCTGATTTTGAAAGATGGAAGCTTAAATCCTATAAGGCGAAAACAGGGCCAAGGTATGCACTCCACATGCAAAAACACTACATCCTACAAAAGCATATGGCATCATGATATAAAACGCAGATGACTAAATGAGCGGAATATATAGTAAAGTTCTAATAAAAACTTAGACATCCCACTCTGCGATAATTGTTGATCAAATTTAGTAACGTTTCTTTGTCATCTTTCCACATTAGAGTTGAAAGTGAAATAATTACAATTGAAAAAAAATGCAGCAATTTCAGGTGAAGCCCTTTAACTTGACAGCTTTTTTGCTCGAAAGTTTTTTAAGCTTTCAAGAATTATACAGTGCTTGGACTTGAAGGCGGGTCAAATAAAAAATATGATATGATAAATAAAAGATTTAAATCCTAATAGGTATTAATGAGGACTACTACTTTTTCAATAAGACTAGAAGGAAATAACCAACTTGTTAGTGGTCGCGACATACAACTGATTTTATTCAGTACTTGACCATCGGCGGTCATCCAGACACGCTTATTTGCAGTACAGCGAAGACTTGACTTGATTTCCACAGGAGGACCACCCGTTTTCAGCCAACCGTACATAATATGAGGCTCAGGGCACACATAGGTGAGTCTAAGGCAATGTATCTAAGAAGTTTCAGTCTTCTAATAAAGAGCAAACCTACGCGCACGATTTCCCTGGAATCTCTTGTCGCCGTACATCAGCCTGTTCAACAGTTAAACAGTCTTTACGATCTTTAAGTCCTTTACAATTTTGAGCGTAAATGCCTGGATAGATTTCTGGACATGCTGAGCATTGCCCTGACGTATTGACGCCTAAAAACCATAACTCACACAAATTATTTGTTGCTCAAATCTATATACCTTGCTGGGAATCCTCACTTTTGATAGCCATACAAGCCATTATCGTTCTAAGAATATCTGCAAAAAGTACAAGATGGATAAGAAGTGAAAGCATAGCGCGGGAATTGCAAACGAGAGAAAGCAAAACCTATTTAAAGAACGTTTGCGATCCAACCTGACCAAGTTTCGAATGATCTCTTGACATAAGAACACAAAAAGGAATCTAAAATAAGAGTTAAAAGAAAACCGAAGAAAATTTCCAGTTTTTAAAAAAGTCAGAAAAAGCCGTATCACAATTGATCCAAACTTTTAGTTATTCACTCGGAGTAAGACGATGAGAAAGCTTATCAGGCCCAGATTTTTGGTTTGAAACATTTCATTCTCGTGTTATATTGCAGTGAACATTACAGCAGCCTGAGCGATTATCATTATTACATTTTGATGTATAACAAGAAATCTAGACCCATAAATAATTGGAGCGAAGGTTTTATAGACAATATAAGTATGTTGGTGGTAAATATACAAGTCTACCCATGATATAGGGATTTTCCTATACAAAAGAGCTAAAAAAATCCTTGATAGCTGCAATAGCATGCGTAGTAAGAAACCTAAACAACATTTTAAAATCATTACCCTAAAAAGCTATTTCTAAGTTTGACAGCATTGAGAGTCTTCATCTCTCCTTCGATTCGAAGCAAAATAGTTTTTTCTTCTTGCCATGGAATAAAATACAGAAATTCTCAAGCGGTAGGCAACAATCT